CTGGGAGGGGGCTCAGGAGTCACAACACTCCAGCTGATGAACAGGAATCAGCACCTACAACAACAGCCACAGAGCTCTAAGAAAACTGGAAAGGCAGGAGGAGGCAGGATTTTGTTCCCCTTGGGGGAGCAGCCCCTCAGCAAAAAGGGCCACCAGTGAACTGCTGCCTGGGAGCAGCAGCCTGAGCATGGCAGAGCCAGGATTCTCTGTCCTCCCAGACTCCCTGTCCCACATAACAGCAAGGACATACCAATGCTCCCTAGTGGCTCTCCAACCCTCTCCATCCTCCTGACTGGCACCTTGGGACTCCCTATCTGCAAAGAGGAGAGGCAAGCAGTGAGCTGGAGGTGGCTTCCTTAAGTCCTGATCCCCTCCTGCCAAAGCTGGACTGAAAAATCACAAGATTTTTAAATACATGTATATAATGGTCCTTTTTATTTGCCACTAGATTTCAGTTGTTATGAAAATAGCCAAATTCTCAAATTGCTAGAAATGGTTTCTTTAAAACAAAACACAACCAAACACACTAAAAAACCCAAACAAAAAAACCCACACAGAACAACAACAACAACAACAAAAAAGCAGATTAAATAAAATAAGAGCCAGGTATTTGTGAAATGACAAAGGCCTCAACACTGAAACCAAAAGACAAAAGAACCAACATTATGAGATTCATGAAAAAATCGTTGAGATAGGAAAATACCGAAGAAGTGCCAAACAAGACAGAGCAGGAAAGACCAGCCTGTGATGCACTTAGACATTGATTCTCTGTAGAAAGGATTGGAAGTGCTGAAAGATCCTGAATGTTAACAGCCTTCAACCAGCATGTAATGCCATATCCAACATGCCTTTATGTACATGGCCTTGGCTCCTGGGGCAAACTCCAGTAAACAATCTTCAAGACAGGTATTTCTGATACACACCTGCTCTGCAGCAGATGTGCAGCGGTTCTGTGTGTAACCAAACGACTCAGTCACCAGGACCATCTCCTTAAACACCAGTTTACACAACCTGTTACTGGGAGTCCCAGAAAACTGACTTCTCCACTGGATTTGTGCACGGCCAGAGATCGAACCCCTAAGGGCAAAACTATTGACCGTAATAATTCAGGGGGCAACAAGAAGCAAGGAAGCCACATGAAATAAATGTCAGGAGAGAGGTGCTGCTCCTGGCCCTGGGTTCCCTCCTCCATCCATGAGGATGTGACAGCACTAGCCTGTGAAAGCGCACAGGCGTGGTAAACACTCTCTCCACGCTGTCCGTACGGATAACTGTCATTTGTCTTTCCCACGGGTGAGTGTGGGAGGGCAGGCTCAGGAACGTTTCCACCAGTACACGGCATCCCATGCTTCAGCCTTGGCACACAGTGCCAGGGGAACCTGTCCTTGGAACGCTTTGAAGCCACACTGCAACAGGGCATGTACGACGTCTCCTGCTCTGCTCTCCAGCCCTTGCCCCTTCCAACCCCCTATTCACTGTCACTACTATCCTCTCCCAAGTCCTGCCTTGAACACCCACTCAGGACAAATCTATGCCTGAAAAAAATAGACCTCTGCCTGAGGATTTGCAGTGGCAAAGATACAAAGGTAAAAAAAAAAATCACACAACCCAAATAATTGTTTATCAGCACTGCCACTTTACTGCTGTAATTATGAAAAGGAGGAATTCCTCTGAACTATTAAACATTTGGCTCCAACCACCGAATCAAACTTATTCCAAGACATTCTCCTTTATTGGATGACTCAGCTTTTTCCGAGTCTCACAAAAACCAGGACTTGAGTGCTTTGCCACCCAGAAACCAAAGGAAGCTTCCATGAAACCAGCAAACACCTCCCATCTTCTCAACATTGTTATTAAAAAAGCAAAACAAACCAGAGAGGTTCTACAAGTCAGCCTATAAACCCAGTCATGAGGAGAGTAGTGTCAGTGGTAATGGGGCAAGAAAGGCAGGGTAATTATACCACACCAAATTTGCAATCGTGCCGCATTCCTTGCTGGTGAAGGCCAGCTAAGAATTAGATACACCTTTTTAAATCATCAAAGGGAGTGGCTGCAAGATACAAGGTGTTGGGATTAAGATGAAATTCTGGGTTTGCCAGTTCTCAGCAATGGCTTTGGTGGCTGGGCTGGGCATGTCATTAAATGCTCCCAAACGATGTTCACATCATGTCACTTCTTTTTAATCTTTATATGATTCTCTGTATTTCAAGAGTCCCAGGCTCCCACTGGGCAAAAAGCTGTACAAACCAAGAAACTGAAGATAATACCTATCCAAAAGATTTTTTGCACTTGGTCAACCGGACAAGTCTGGTAACTTGTACTTCAGCACTACTTCAGTGGTGCACAAATATTTATCATGTTGCTCCAGTTACTGCCACAAGGTCTGCAAGCTCAGGCCCTCAAGCATGAAAACTCAAGAGCTTCCCTGCCAAGAAGGCTGTTAAAAATACTGAATGGGAAAAATACTATTTTGTGAAGATGATTTAACAAGGACTACATGAGTGAGGGAACAGATTTGGCTCAGACCTCTCCTTTTTCAGAAGAACAAGTACAGGAGCTCAGGTGCAGCACTCAGCCTGCGGATCTTTGCAGAGGGGCTGGGAAGCTGGGTCTCAAGGAAGCCCCTCCATGGGTGAGAGGCACGGTGCTGCCATTCCAGAAATGGAACCCTGGTCCACAGCCTGCTGGGCAATGCAGAGGCAGGTGATCTTCTGCTGGAGAATACCTCTCTTGGAGAAACCACAGGAGTGACCATCACGCAGGCAGGACAGCGGCACACAGAGGCAGAGCTCCTGCTCTGGCTGCCTCACCTTGTTTGTACTGTACACGGGATTCTCAATAACCTCCTGGGCTGTTACAGGGCAAGAGGAGAACGAGACACAGAAACACAAAGGCACAGACCACGAGAGCCTTAAAAACTCATGAATGTCCTCTCCCACCATAATTTCATAGTGCAGGTTGTTCCAGACAATCCACGGCCAACAAAATAAATGCTGCATTTGTGCTAGTTTTCAGAAAACATGCCAAAAAGACAAACACAAGGCAAAGCAGCCAGCCAAATAGACAAGTCTTGCTATTTAATTATTTTGAAATGAAAAAGTTCAATTAAAACTAGCTACAAAACAAAGACATAATGATTACCTCTCTCTTCATAAGTTTGTGCTTTGGCACAAATAACTGGCTGGCCTGATTTTATGTCCAATGAATCTAATCTTATCCAACAAAGTGGCTCCCTGTACAGCAGAGAAGACAAGGGGTTCTGAAAAGAGCTCTCGGGACAATATGTAACACCATACAACTAAATTTAAAAAAAACAAACAAACAAACTCAGGGTGATTTCTGTTCTTTCTTAGGCCAGCAGGAAAAAAAAGCATAATGCAGTTGGCATCAGATTGTGGTGAGGTAAGCAGCACACAGGACCTGACATCAAGCTAACTCCAGTTGCACTTTGCAGTGAATTTGTGAATGCACTCACCTCCCCACTCGAAAGCCAGCTGTTTGTGTTGTGTGATGGGTTCATGTTACTGCACTATTTATGAATTCAGTCTCTTGGCAGTATACAAGCAAGATGTTTTTCCATGTGGTGGTGGCTGACACCCAATGATTCGGCATGAAGAAAGGAGTCCAGTGTTTTTTCCCATGCTGAGGCCTGGGCCACAGGGATGCTCACTGCCCTCGTGCCCAGCTGTGCTGGTACACCTGAGGAAGCCATGACTTCAGCACATGACTTACAGCAGAGCTGTATGCTCAAACATAAGCTTCTGTGAGCCATCTCCAGCTGGGCATCCAGAGATGAAAACATCCCCAAATTAGTGGGCACTGCTGAAAAAGTTAGCCAAGTGTCTAAACACTTGCACAATCTGTACTCACTCTCAGTACCTCTTGATTTCTCAGATGGCATCACCCACTGATTGCAAGCGTTTCCCAACGGACACAGTCATATTGAAACCCTAAATATTGCAGTGACTTAGCTTCTTCCACTTCACTTTACTCAATGTAATTAATCCTCACAGCGCCTCAGAGGAAGAAGGACAGCGGCATCGACCAACCCAACCCCAGTGTGCAGGCACGAGGCTCGAAAAGCCAAGGGAACTGTGCGAGGTCCTGCAGAGCGAGGGCCGAGTCCATCTGCTGTGTCACGTTTCTAAAGAGATACTCATGCCATCAAACCCCAGCGGTGAGGAAGCGGGAAGAAAGCCTTCCTCAATTCTCCCCCCCCCGCCCAGGACCCCGAACTCGTCAACACGATCATTACAGCATGTTTGACGGCACAAGTCACTCCTGCTGTGGTCCAGGCGAGGGATTCCTGGCATGGCACGGGCAGGGCTTGGTGGCCTCGGCCGGTGCTCCCCGCAGACACGACCGCGTTGCATAACTACGGACACTGCACGTCAAGTGGGAGCTCCCCACAGGCATCCACCGGCTTATGCAATTACCGCGCCCCGCTGCGAGGCCGCAGGGACGGCGGGTTTGGGCTCCCCTCGCCCTCCGGCGGGAGCGCTGCCCACCGACCCCGCTCGGGGTATCGGCCCCCTGAGGGTCCTCGCCATGGGGCACGGAGGGGAGCGGGGTGGGGGTTCATTTCGGAGCGGCCGAGCCACCTCTGGAGAAGGGGAAGGAGTCATCCAGGACACCTCGCCTTCGCCGAGGTGTCCAAGCTCACACATAAAGGTGCTCCCTGACATGAGGGCCGTGGGGCTCCTGTGGCCGCTCTCAGGGCATCCATCACCTGCAGGTGCCAGGTGAGGGTCCCGGACCCCGCCAGCCCGAGCCCACCGCCGTCCCCCCACCGCAGCAGCGGGCCGGGGTCCCCCCGCTGCCCGAGGGCCGGGCCCCGCCGCGGGGCTGCGGAGCGGAGGAAGCGGCAGCGGCCCCCGCCCCGCCCTGCCCGGCTCCCCCTCGGGCCAAGGGCTGGGCTCCCCGCCGGGCGAGGCAGAGCCAGCCTGCCACCTCCCCTCCTCCTCCTCTTCTTCCTCCTCCTCCTCCTCGCCTTCCTACTTCTGCACCGGCTCCGCTCGGGCTCCGCCGCTGCCCCTCCGCCGCCGAGGCTGCCAGAGAGCCCCCCTCCCTCCCTCCCTCCCTCCCTCTCCCCCGCCCTCCGCCCTGTCCCCAGCGCCGCCGCCGCCGCTTCCACAAGATGGCGGGGACCGTGGCCGAGCGGGACGCGCTGGTGAGTGCGGCTTCACCCCCCGCCCGGGCACCGGGACCGGCACCGGGACGGAGCCGGGGGGGCCGGGCAGGGCACCTGCGGAGCGGGGCGGGGGCGGGGGGGCTGCGCCTGGCCCTGCCTCAGCGCTCTCCTTTCTACCTGCAGAAAATAGAGGACGGGCATTTAAACAACTCCCTGGGATCCCCGGTGCAAGCTGATGTGTACTTCCCTCGCTTGGTAAATCACCTTTATTTGGTTTCTTTCTTTTGGGTGGGGGGTGGGCGGTATTTTATTTTTTTAACCCCTTTACTCCCCCCCTCTCCTCCGCCCCGGCTGCAAAACGGCGGCCGCTGCTGATGCCGAGCTGACCCTCGCCACCTTCCCCCTGTCCTTTCCAGATCGTCCCCTTCTGTGGGCACATCAAAGGAGGAATGAGGCCGGGAAAGAAGATCTTAGTTATGGGCATAGTGGACCTCAACCCCGAGAGGTAACACCTGGGCCCGGCCAGGGGGAGATGGGGGAGCGGCCACACGCACGTACACATACACACGGATCCCTGCTTTCTGGAAAGGATTATTTTTATCATTTTAAATATAGCATGCTGATTTCTCCTTTGACCCATAGAGGGGGCATTTCTTCAAGGGATCCCGTTTTCACTTGGGAGTAAAGGAGCATATAGAGCATATATATATGCCTATATGTACACATATATGTACACCACCATGCACACACAGACATATATATATATATGCCATAACCATGTTCCTGTCACTGCTGAGCTTTCAGGGTTTCTCTGAACGAGCTGAGCTGTCATCCCCCCTGTGCTGCTATACCAATGGCTTTAATAAGCTGAGAAATGAACCTGGGCGGCATTTGGGGCTTATTTGGTTTTTTCCTGGCTGAACGAGAGCCGTTCTGTTTGTGTTGCAGCTTTGGCATCAGCCTGACTTGCGGGGAGTCAGAAGATCCTCCTGCGGATGTAGCCATAGAACTGAAAGCTGTGTTTACAGACAGACAGTTTGTCAGAAACTCTTGTGTAGCCGGAGAATGGGGGGAAGAGCAGTCGTCTATTCCTTACTTTCCATTTATACCGGACCAGCCTTTTAGGGTGAGTACCAGGATGACAGCAGCTTACACCGTATCCGATAAAGTGTCATTTGATCTGAGTTGCAGCAGAACCTGACTTGGCTTTCATGAAATCACAGCCCGCACTGCTCCTGTTGAGACACCAGTTGCTGATTTGTTTGTATCCATCAAAAGTTGTGCAGGGATCCTGCTGCTACGTGCAGCTGCAGGCAGTTCTGATGGGGCTGTGGACACCTCACCTGGGCGCTATGACAAGTCGGAGGTTGTAATACTGTGTGATGAAGTCCAACTTCCTGAGCTTAGTTTTATAGCTATATATTAAAAAGTACCTCTATGTTATTAGTGCATTACAAGTTACTACTGGAGAATGTAAATGATCTGTGGGACTGCTGTATGTTTTGATGGTTTTTTTAATGGACATAGTGTTGGCAGTTTAGTGCGGCTAATAAGGATCATGTTCATCCTTTGTCTCCAGGGATGTTCCGTAGAGGTTGACCGTAGCTCTTCGTGTTAGCAGATTAAATGGCTAAGCAATAGTGGTATTCTTTCTTGAACCCTGGGATTAAACCTCCCATCAAATTTAAGTCTGTAGTCACTTGAAAATGGTGTTCTGGGAAATGCTGTGGCACTGTGGATGGACTGGGTTGACCTAGAAGCAGATTCCCATCTGTAGTGTTTATGGTTACATGAAGATGTCTTTGCAAATCAGGACTAACAAAGTATGTGGCTGCAGAGGGCTGCTTCACTACATTGAGGAAAAAAGGCTGCATGCCTTTTCCATGCAGCTGACCCAGAAAAACCTTCCTCCTCCTCCTCCCCGCCCCTCTTGCAAAACCTCACTAGCCCCTCTGCTAAATGCCAGTGCTCTGACCAGCTGCCAAACTCTCTTAATCCTTCTTGCCCCCAAGATAATCTCCCCCAGCCCCAAAAGCTCACCATCTCCTCAGATGCTTGGGCTTTAAGAGGGTGTTTGTGACTGGTTTTGCTGCAAATTGGTTGCGCTCTACTTGCTTCTACAAACTCTCCCATCAGAACTGGCAACACCCTTTGGTGGTGTGGGAAATGCACTTGAAAAGACTTGGAGGCTGGGTCCTGCTCCAGCTGAGAGGGTTCCACTGCCTGCTGCACTGGGTGGTGACTGGGCCCTCAGATGAGCCAGACAAATTACGCAGAGCATGTTTTGTGGGTGTCCCACTAATGGCAGTTGATGTTGGAGGATAGCAGCATTGCATGTTTACTGTGAGATACTGTAGATGGGGAGTTGTTCTTTCCCCCCTTTTCTTTTTTTCTTTTCTCTTTTTTTCCCAAATGGAATTTAGGCTTCCAACTGACTTTGTACCTTTGATGGTCTCCCTCTCCGTGAATAAATTAGACTATTAAGTGTTCTTGCCAATTACTTGTGGCCCAGTCCAATTATCATTCTGGCGTGGCCCCGGGTGATCTGGAGAAGCGGACTGTGAGCAGGGTTGAGGGTAACCATATCTTTTACATAACAAGGCCTCGGGCTGGCTGCGCCTGCTGCAGTGACACAGGAGCTACGTGGCAGCACGGGCCCTTCCCTGCTGCTTGGTGCACTACCAGGTGTCCAGGAGTTTAAGCTCTCCTGGACTGTCAGCTGCCACTTCTCCCAGTGCGACGTGCTCCATGTCAGTTGGGCTTTGGCTCAGGCAGTTTGTCACCCCCTTCGCATTTTTATATGCTGTAATAGCAGCAGAGTCAAGTGCCTGGAAGCAGCACTTTACTCTGGACAACCTCTTGAAATGACCCAGGATTTGCACGTGGCTCCCCTGCAGATTTTCTCCTTAGCCTGTCCAGACCTGGAGGTCTCCAAAGGCCTGCACAAGAAGCGCATGTTCCGTGCCCTCATGTCCCTGCTTCCTGCCGGGGCAGCTCCAGCAGAGCATAACGACGGGACACCCTCTCAAGCCACCCCTAATGTCAGGAATCTCCCAACTTGTCCAAGCTTGTTCAGCTCCAGGCTTTATTGCTTTTCTAGAGCATTTCTGCAGGTCTCTCAGGAGGAGGGATGAGCTGTGTCCCTCCCTGATCTGGTTTGTGCCTCGTGCAAACTGCCCAGCTGAATTCAAGCAATCCTCCACTGCATCTCCTTCACTGCAGCCCCAGGATGGAGTCTAGTCCAGCAAGGAGTCCTGGGCTGTCTGCAGCCACAGGAGTGAAGGCTTTTTAGTTTTGCAGGAGCTCTGTATATGTGGGAGGGAAAGACAAACCTATCTCCCTGCTCCATATTCGCTCCCTTCCAGTAAATTAACAGTAGTGTGGAAAGCATTGCAGAGGGAACTGCTGCCTTATTCTGGAGGAAAAAAAAAAAGGGAAAAAAAAGTAGCAAGGAATGCAAGGTTTGGGTTGGAGATAGAATTTCTTCCTCCTGTGATTAGCGGTTTGAGTCTGTTTCTGGCATTATTCCAAGAGGCAAAACCTCCCAGTAGCCAGTGGGGCTGGGTTCCAGTGCGCTTACGGCTACGACAGCGTGAGATTGGATTAATGTCCCTGGGCAGTAAGAGCAGATCCATCACAGTGTAACTGGTGTCAAGGGGGAAAACTGGTCTCAGCCCTGGCTGTTGTGTGGCACATTAGTAGCACAATGTGTAACTGCACTAACACTACTTTAAGTGATCTTTGTGTGCTGTGAAATAACTTTCCAGTTACACTGCGAACAACGTGCTTTAACAATTTATCTTTTACAGGTTGAGATACTTTGCGAGCATCCCCGTTTTAGAATATTTGTGGATGGACATCAGCTCTTTGATTTTTACCACCGTATTGAAACACTGTCAGCAATTGACACAATAAAGATAAATGGAGATCTTCAGCTTACAAAACTGGGCTGAGCTTGTTAGGACTGCAGATTCCAAACCAGCTCAGGTGCCATCGTCCGTTTGGAGCAGTGACAGCCAGCTCTGGACACAGCTATGGTAGGAAGGCTGCCCTGTTCCTTTTCCGCATGCAGTTCTTCACTCCTGTGCCGATGAATTGGGCTGTTTTTTATCCTAATGAAGAGCACTGTTGGTTAATAGACATTGAGCCGTTTTTCTTGGATCAAAATAGCCCACCTGTGCTGGATAATCAAATTGGAATGGATTCAGAAAGACTTGCAGTCTTTGTTTCAAATCTCACAGAAATGCAGTTTCTGAAATGCAGCGCTAAAACCGGTTACTGAACAGTAGTGACAACAAAAACGAGTTTTTCTTTTGCAAATATTGTTTCTGCACTGAAGTGGAGTAGTGTAGCACAACATAGGGCCACGTGCTGACGTCCTTACCCGGGGCCTGAGCCTGGTTCCATGGAAATCAATGGCAAAACTCCCACTCACTTTAACGGGGTACAATCAAACTGTCTAGTCCTTAGTCAAGCACAATTCCCACTGATTTCTATGGCATTTTTGCACGCACCTTGGGGCCTGCTGTTCTGCTGGTGTAAATCAGCATTGCCTCCGCAGCTTGCAGTGGAATTCTGCTGATTGCTCCCAGCTGCTGGTTTGGCCCAAGGGCTGTGCAAAAACTGACTGAGGGTGTGTGGACACAGCCTGTGTATTTTAGTCAGGGTATTTGCATAGAATGTAGGTCGTTATGAGTTTTTGCACAACGTATTGTTAATACAATTTTTAAAGCTTCTCTGTAGTTTATTTATTTATACTCATTGTATGTATTATTAGTAAAAAATGAACAATCTTACTGGCGGTTAGGAACGGCAACGTGTAAACATTTTGAATGTACAAAATGTCTGAGGTTCTTTGGGTAAACTTTACATATCGTTCTTGAAAAAAACCATGTTTCCTATTGAACATTTAGTTATGTTTTGGTGGAGCCCTCTAGGCCCTGGGAAAACGTGGGCATGGTGGCTGGTGGGGGGAACTCCGCATATTCACGAGGATCTGTTTTTCAGGGCTTACTAACTTTGCTGCACAGGATAGGTTTGAGTTGAAGTCGATCCATTTTTAAAAACTTAAAACCCAAATTTGTAGGTTTAACTGTGCTTTTATAACCTGAGAAAAAGTTGAATTTGGCAATCTCTTAGTTCAGAAAGAGAACCAGGCTCTTTCCAAGGGAGATGGGAGATTCTTTACACTTGTTTGAGAACATATTTGGCCTTTGATATGACAATTAAAACTTGTCTAGACAGCCAAGTTATTAATGCTTGAAAATCAGCTACTGCACATGAATAACTTTTCAAGTAGCTTTTAAAATAGTAGGTATAGGTGTATAAACACAGTCATTGCGCTACACTATAAATGAACACAGCCACTTTCTTGACTTCTTTAGGACTAAATACACTTTTTTCCTTGGCTGCTCACAATGGACTGTAGTGGGTCTTTCTGAGTAGTTATAATTGTGATATAAACATACATTTAGGCAATTTTGAAAACACATAATATAAGGACTAAAACACAGACTATAAAAAACATCCTTTGTAGCACAGTATTAAAAAAAAAAAAGAGAGAGGAGAATCTCACAAACAGAACTGTGTTAAACCTGCAATAAAACTGTGGTTTAAAGCCACCAGAACTGGAATATCCAAAGTTAAGGGTAGAATGCCAATGCAAAGCCTCATTTTGTGCTAATTTGGCCTGCAGTTAAGAAGCCTTAGACTGCAAGCTGAAATTCCAACTGTGGCTCTAGTCCAAAGCCTGTTGAGGTCAATCAGAGTCCTCTGAGCATAGAAGCCTGATTCTTATTTCATGCAAGTGCAAATCTCTTTGTAAAGCTGGGGGGTTGTTGCTGCTACTCCAGATGAATTAAGGATCAGACTGCCACCTATAAAATACAAGTTAAAAATTCAATTTTTAGCCTTAACATTTGACACTCCCTGACTTTTCTTCCTACTTCCAAATTAAGAGAGAACTTGTTGTTTTCTGGGTGACTTTTTTATCTGGTGTGTGGCTTTTAAGCTTTACATCAGATTCTATTTGTACTCCAGATTGAATTGAAATGTTCCTGTCTTGCTCTGTTTTTACTCTTTTACATGATACATGATGACTGTGTCATTTTCCATTGTATAAAAAACGCTGACAGTGTTTCGGTACAAAATATATTCTTAAAAATTATGATAATAAAAATCCAAGGGAAAGGTGCTTCTACATGAGGTGTTTTGGATTTTTCTCCAGCTTGGAAATGATCTATGGTTCCAAAGCTGATGCAGGCAGAAGATGTTTGGAGAGAAATTTAGCACCCTCTGTGCCTAGTGCTTTCTCCCAACTGGAGAAGCCAGGTTTGCTGATGAAGGGCCAATGCCTGAGGCCAGAAGTAGGAGGCAGGAGAGAGTAGCATCTCGACCCTACAGTAGCTCAAACCCAAAGGAAATCTCCCTGACAGCATACCAATAGAGATTTCCCCTTCCATGCCTTCGCTGTATCCTAGGAAAAGCAATTTGGCTGCCTTGAATTTTCACAGCCCTCACACTTCTGCTCTCCCGCGCAGTCTCGGCACAGTGCAGTGCCTACCCCAGGGATGCTGAGGTGAACTCGGTGCACCACCTGTCAGTGCCATCTCTGGTGGGAGCAAGGGCCTGCTGATCCTGCCTTGCTCCTCTTCCCAGCTGCTGTGCTGGGCACTCCCATTTGTTCCCACTCCAGGAGTTTTCTGTCTGGGGAAAATGCTTTTTTTTTAACCCTGTTTCTGGTTTTGCCTTTGCATAACTTCACCAACCACGGTGCCCACCACCTGATCCTGCCCCGTTGTGGTTTCTGAGCCAGGCTTCAAGGCAAGAAGGGCTGTGAACCCTCTGCTGATGGGTTGTGGTTTGGCTGAGAGCTCAGGAAAGGGCAGAAAGTCACAGTTAAGGCTTCCACATCTATCTATCTACTTGTCACCTGCTTGGAAGCCTTTTTATTTTTCTTTTGCTCTTGGGCACTACCAGGCAATGGCAGGTGAAAGGATGATGTCTATGTCACCAAGGGCTGTTTCCACAGGTGCTTGGCTTACACTGCCTAATCATGTTAAGAAGCAACTGCAGAACACTTGCATGTGCAGTGTAAGTCAGAGAAAACGGAGGCCTTAACTGTTTCTGCTCAGTTGGACCTTGAGCCAATTTCAAATGCTTAAGGTGGGAGACTGTGCTGCAAAATTTATATCTGAATTTTTAGGTCTCCACAACTTAAGGGATTATTCAGATCTTCATTTTGAATATAAGTCCTAATAGATCTGAAATAAAGACTATTTCCAAATTGCGCCAGGTTTTTCAGTAGAGACAAGTAGTCTGTGAGCTTCTTGGAAGCTGCAAATCTTCAGGACTTAAGGAGTGTGTAAAGCAACTTTTGAAACCTTGTGCTAAAATTTATTAGCTGAATATTTCTGCAGTTTCCTCTGAATGAGGAAGTTGATTCTGAAATTAAAAAAGCCTTGAATGGGTAAAATCCATGTGCAGTGGAATCACTCAACTTAGCATAGCTTTATTTTTTCCAAAGAGGAAAAACTAAAAAACAAACAAACAAACAAACAAAAAAACCAACCAAACCAAAAAAACCACAACCAAATTATTTAATTTTGCTTGGGATTGGCTGTGATAAAGCTGATTTGATTTTAAAAAACCCCAAAACTAGGTTATTGCCTACTCAGAGCCTTGAAATATTTCAGTGTCATGTGAGGTAGTCTGTGTCTAAACATATTTCACCTAAATGCTTTTTCACAGACAAGTTGTTAAAACTGTTACAGAATACCTTCTTTTTGTGTCACAATTAGAAATGTTTGCCCCACCTTGTAAGAACATTTTGTACCAAATATTCATGTGTTGTCTATGAGAACTTGCACTAACATATTATATTCTCCCTCCCCTCCTTGACTAGTTTGAGCACAAATAGGTGTAATATTGCTAAACCGGTTGAATGTGACATCTGCTTGAGGCCTTGCACCTTTCTCAAGGGCTGCTTTGAGTAAACAGCCTGGAAACCAAAGGGAGAGCCTGATTCACCATTCTGCTGTGCCAGCTTTCCACCCTTGTCACTCTTCTGCTGTGAGGCTGAGACTGAAGCCCAGAGATTTTCATGTAGGGAGCAGCACTGAGATTTTTATCTTTGGATTTCAAACTATTCACCATGGAGGAAACAAGACCAGAGTAGCCATAGCACTCTTCAGCTTTTTGGTGAGGTTGGAGTAGCATGACAGTCTTTAGCCCTAACAGAGCAGGGGTTCAGAGGGCATTGCTGGGCATTTCAAAACCAGACAGGAGCACAGGCTGTGGAGATGCAGGACAGCTTCCCAGGGATGGGCTTTTGGCACATTTTTATTTGCCACCTTCTGCAAACCCCTGCCAGGACACATGGCAAAAAATCAGCATTGCTTATGAGCTTGGAAGGCATGAATGGATTCATGTTCCTACTCGTCTGATGTAAGAGAGGCATTTATCTGACATGGGGCTCACTTTGCCTCCTGTCCACAAGAAGTACGACCCACAGAAAACTCTAGCACTGTTTTCTGCGCTGAGGCTGGTTACAGAGACCTTTCCAGGCAGAAAACTGCAGAACCAGAACTCTGCTGAGCCAGTTAACAACCTCCCAGCACCCCTGGAATTAATATGACAGTATAAGGCACAAGAATCAGGCTGAAGGCAGCCCCAAATACCCACTGTGATAAGCACAGAAGTTCAGAAGAAAAGCTTACACCAGTCTAGGAACAGTAAGTGACCTGGTGAGGGTTTTTTCTAATGGTGGGTATTGTTCTGATTTTATCACGTGGATCAGAAAGTGTACAGGTGAAAGTCACTTTGCAATGAATGGTGTGCGGGGTTAAAACCAAGGCCAACCCAAACAGGGAGAAAAAATGAGCTGCAGACGCCCTATCTGGCTTTGATACACCCTCCCAGCTCCTCCCAGCAATCACTGCTGTTATGAACATAGACAATTACTAGAACAAGGAGATTCAGCAGCATGTGCAAGATCTAAATAATAAACTCCTACTCTGCCACGGGTCCTCCCTAGTTCCTGTTGCTAGGCCTCTCCATCTGTCTGTCAACAAATAACCATGTCCTGCTGCTTTTAAAATCCATGTCAAAAATCCCTTTGACTTTCATGGAAATAGGTCCCTAAGAAAAGAGTTATTTCTAGCTCTCACTCTCCGGTTATTTTCAGCTGGGGCATACTCTAAAACTGAGTTTATTTTTAAGTATGAATAGAGGACTATTTCTGTCTGCACTATACATTGGGTAGAGTCAACAGGAAGCACGGCCTCTCTCTGCTGCAGAAACACTGGTTTCACAGTTCCCTGATGAAATGTCTTGTTTTCATTACCTTCTGATTTTACAAAGTAAGATTGTGCACAAACTGACCGGGCAATAACAGTAATATGTACCATTCACCACAGATCTATTTTTATGTGTTGTGCTGATTTCATAATGAACTTTTAATAACAATAAAACATGAAATCTTCACTAGGTTGTCCTGTCTTCTGTCTGAACTATTAATGCTCATTACATACCCTCTTGACTTCTCTAACTTCTGGCTTTTTTTTTCTTCTGACTGTTTTCCAGATGTAGCTAACTCTTTCCCTCATAAAACTGTAGTGTGAAACTTTAGAATGGGAAGTGCAGCTTTGGTAGCAGCTTGTGTAAAACTGCTTTACAGCTTAGATGCACTATACAGAATAATCAAATAACTCCATTAGAGGAAAGAACATCTTGCTGACTCTTACAAGACTCCTGCTGACATCACTGGGCAGTGTAAGCCTCAGGAATTAACAGGCACGACTCAGACCTCACAGCCAGGCCGTGAGAACAGGTCACTGATCATTTTGCACAGGATAAAACAGCAGTTTAACTCACAGGTGTTCCAGCTCACTCTGGTGGGACTGGATTCATAGGCGAATGTTACATGGTGAGTAAAACCACTAAATCAGCTCCAGATGGACATTATTATGAGATCCAGTGTTTTACTTGTTGGCATCATCTTAACTGAAGTTCACATTGGCCTGATTAAATGCAAGAGGAAACTATAAGGTCTCAGCTTCTTTCAGTTAAAGTTACTGGAAAAATTCTGTGTGACCCAAGTGGGAAAGGATTATGCCCTCCATCCAGTCATGGCTGTAAAAAACAAGTGAGGTTTCTGTGGGAAACCTCAAAATTCAAACAGCACTAAAGCAACAGATGAACAGGATTTGAATACAGCTAGTTCTTTGTTTTTTCTCCCCATAAAATGACTGTGATTCAGATGCTCCACATGAAGTTCATCCTACCTCTAACCCATGAGCATCAATTCATCCTACCTCTAACCCATGAGCATCAATCTGTGGCCATCCCTGCTCAAAGCCAGCCCAAGATTGGGCCTTTGTTTACTACACATGACTCTAAGAGGGGACATCTAGAGATTCTGAGATAAAACATAGCATTTGGTAACCTCGATGCAAAACAGAAATGGCTGTGAATGGTATAAAAGCAGCATCTATTCCCCATCAGACAGCAGAACCACAGCAGCTGAAGTGCCTGGGAGGGATTTTCGGAAGAGGGAATAGATACATCAAATTTCACCTCTTGCATGGGCTAACTCCTACAGAGGCCCTTGGAAAGCTCTCATTTGACCTGTAATACTGAGTAAACTACAGACATGAGTTTAGGGGAAAGGCAAAGCACCTGATGTGGCAAGTGCAATGTGTACTTCTCTCCCGTTTGGATCAGTACTGTGGACGCCTCGCAGCTGGGCTTTATTTTGGTGGAGTGTTTCTGAGCTTCAAGCCAAGCCAATTCATGTTGAGTGATTTACTCACAGAAATACCATGAATATGACTCTTTGCTAGCGCTGCACTGGATCTTATTTTTAAATTATGACTTTCACCACTCTTCTAAGAATAGAGGCTGGCTCTGAAACATCACATTGGCTCCAGCGTTCTCTGAAAGCTGCACATTTCTCATCCTGTTCAGGTTTTGAGGCTTCAGTTTCCTCACTGGTGCCTTGCTAGACCAGGGCTGTGATGCCAGGAGGGGTCATTCTGTGAAAGACCCTGACAAGGAGGTGTCTTTCAGCAGCTCTCTTCGGCAGAAGGAGACATGCTAGTCTCCCCCAGCAGTCAGGAGCGACAGCAAACCAGAGCTATGCTGACTCCTGGTTGGCAGAACAGGGCTTCCTTGTGACTCTGAGAGGCTGGAACAAAAGCCTGGTTAATTAGAAAAATTTCACTGAAGCTGAACAGTAAATCTAAGCAGCAAAGAGGAGGCTTTCAGAGCTAAGCAATCTGATGCTAACAGCAGAGCCATGCTCCCTGGGTGCCAGAGGCCACGGGCAGGTGTTGCTTCTGTTGAGCAGAGAAGAAAAGCTCCATTCTGTGGCCAAGCATGGACGAAGATGTTGGAGCTTTCTGACACTGTTCAGTGGCTCTGCCTTTGCCTGGCTCCAAAAACCCCTTTGATGGGCAAAAAGCCAGTGCTGACAGTATTGTAATGTATGACAAGCTCCAGTAGCAGCTCCAGCACTGCGTGCTCCAAGAGGCAAAGAGGATTCTTTCCTCGCTGCTCTCTAAGAAATTTTCTATTCAATGGCACAGATAATGGCTGTCTAGAAGAGATACAAACCAGTACTAAGAACAAAATGTTGCTCTAGGTAGAAGAAAAATCCATTCTCAGGAAAGCAACAGATTCACTACAATCTCCAGGGGAAAACAAAATATTTTGATTTAAAAGTACAAAGGCGTCAGCAAGGATAGGGAAGTTCCTTTTACACCCTATTTTTGCATGAAAGATATAATGAGCTACAGTGGGTATTAAAGAGACACTGAGGGGCAAAGGTGGGAACAGCTCTGGATTATTACATGGAGGCAGAACACAGCTTCCACATCCATTCCCCTCCATTTCCACTTCCTTTTCTCAGAGGTAGCCAGTCCTCTCCCTGAGAGAGAACCATTGATGGAGGAATATCAGAGGAACTCTTCTGTGGCTTCAGACCTTTATGTGTCTTCTACAGACACCAACCAAGGTATATCTTATTTAGTGCTGCTCACTGAAGAACTTCAAAGCATTGACAAAATTTAAAATTCATCTTAATTCATGAATGGTCCTTGCCATTTCTAGTATTACTGCTGTTATCCTACAGGCAGGGAGAGGGAAGAACAGAGATGCAACAGCCGTTTCTCAGCAATCAGTGCTGTAATTTGGAATGCACTGATTGGCACACAATGTCTCATCACTGTGACTTTTGGTTACAACACTGAAGTTCAGGCTCCCAAGCCCCCTCCTTTGCTCACCAGGCAGACATGTTATTTTGGGACAGAATATACAATGGTAAAGTTGAGTAATGCTATACACTGTGTAGCTCCTCTGGGATCAGAGGGACTCTTTGTAATGCAAAATCCTTCCAAAATATGATTTTTTTTATAATAGTAAAAATGAATGGCATTCTGTCAATTTTTTTTGCAGCTTCCACTGACTCACAGTGCCTTCAATTACTATTTAAATAATGCAGAAGAGAAGCTGGAACAAGACCAGGTTTCTTGGCAGGGAGTTTGCTGCACCTTAAATTCAAAAGATGATGTGCACGTTTCCCTAGACAAAATACAGCAATCACAACCTGAGTGATGAAAACAGGCTGATCTCTCTCAATTTTGGTGGAAGTACATTGATTGATAGCAACTGAGTACCTGCTAGAGTAGGAACTGGTTAAAGGTTCCCATAATAAACCCTAACCTCTTTGAGCTATTCAGAAGATGCTCTTAGGCAAAATAACAGGATTCTATTTAGCAAAAGAAAGCACGTGATTGTCTTAATGCATTGTACAGCTGAAGCTGTGATAATGCAGGCTAGAAGATGATGTTTTAAAGTGAAAGGGAAATTAGTTGTAATTATAATTGTTGTTGTCTTTATGCATTGCCAGCTGTATTGATTACTTTCTTTCTGTGTGTCACTGGCAGCTAGGGAACATGATACATTATCTCATGCTAGTGTTGGAGAGCAGCAGAGATTGGTGTATTTTTAGAAACAAGATTCCCACAGTGTAACTGTGGCAATTGGATGATCATACACATGCATATTAAAATGCCAACAGATGAATTCCTGGACAGTGCCAGCAAACATTTCACTGTTTGGGGTAGGAGGAAAGGGCAGGAATGCACAGCTCAGAAATTCAACAACTGCAAGCACAGCAGTTTTACCTCGAAGAGTGTCCTCTGAGGGATTTGTGGCTCACATTGGCCAGTCTGAAAGGGAAGCTGTGAAAAACAGAATCTTTTCCTTTTCCAGGATGAAAAGATGATACATTTGCAGATCAGACCTGGTCCCATTACACAGGAAATTAGATCTCTGTACCAGTACAGAGAACTGATGGCCACCTCTAGACATCCTTTAAGGGCCCAGTCCTGGGCCTCAGCCACCAGCAGACTGTGTTTGGGGTGCCTCTGTTGCACAACAAATCATAGTGCAGAGGTCCCTGGCTCACTAAATCTCACTGAGACTGCAGAAGTACAAGGCTTATTAGTGGGCACAGACCTGCACAGATGTGGGCAGACAGAGAGATGGTAGGGCCAAGTTGCCTGTAAGCAAAGCTGGTGGTGAGGCAACCAAGTGCTGCCTGTGCAGAGTCCATGTGTGGCAGCATCTGCTGGGAACTTACATGTCTCATAAAGCATTTATGTGTCTCATGTCAGAGAATCTGTTTCAGACTCTCTGGGAATAATATCAGCCGGGTTACCAGTCCTGTAATTGTGCTGGCTTAGACAGGACTTGTACAGGACCAGTGGAGGTCTGAACCTTTCCACTAAGAGCCAACCCAAGTGTCTCTAAGTAGAGCACAATGTGAGTTCACTTGTAGAAGAACTGATTAAAGTACACTTGGAGCATTCAGCAGTCATTCAAGTAGCATCAGATAGATATCTTCCTGTATAGTGTACACTGTTAGTGTATTCAGTATAAACAAACTGATAGTCACAGGCCATCACAGGAGCATGGTGACTATTGCACTTGATAAATCTGGCAGTCCAAATAGCTCACAACTTTGGTTGTGTTAACTGGAATGTGTTTTGGAGGACAGCACAAGGGATGCTGTGACAGACAGCTATAGCATAGCTGGCTACAGACAGATTTTTCTTTCAGTTCTCTTTAAGTAGAATTAGTCTGGAGCCTATTCAATAATCTTGAATTTTATGTGTTTATCACTGATTTGCAGTGATTGCAATTGGTGTTGGAGGATATTTAATGCCTGATCTTTTTCAGGATCCTGTTACATTTATGCATATGGATGTTGTTCATGAATGGCAACATACTACTTGCAAAGAAAATTCCTGTCTGTCTTTGATGTACCTCTTTTCTGTCTCATTTATGCGCCCTTTTATCATTTAATAGGTGGATGAATTAAGAGAAGACCATAAACTAACATCTCAATGTCATTTAGCTTTCTATACACTTTCATCATGATCACCTCTTTCAAGGTCTCCAGACCTTTTCAACCTAATGAC